TCTCCAAGGGATGACTGTCAAAAAGTGGGCAAAGCTTTCCTTAACCATTTGCCCATTTTGTGTGATTTTTCCAAAGTCAGCATAACGTACTGATTCTCCTTATTGCTTGGGGATTGAAAGATTAGAGCTATTTATTCATACATTTTAACCACAGCAGAATCATCTGCAAGCTGCTGATTCAGTGTCTAAACTTATTCAACAGGCCGCATGTGTATGAAGCCTCCCGCGTCACTGGAATCACTGAGTCCTGTCTGCACAGCAGCGGTGGGGCAGGTCCTGTCCTTAGGAGAGGAGAGAACGGGAACGACTAGAGGACACAGGTAAGGGGAGACACTCTGACATGGAGGAAACTTTAACAGAATGATGAGCTCCAAGAAGATGCAAGTGAATTTGATGCAGGAGCACAGGGTCAGTGCCAGTGAAAGTGGTACCCAAGAGCTCAGAAGAAAATAAAGAGCACAGTCCCATTTCGAATTAGAAGATGCCCGACTGAGTGAGGCAGCATCGAAACGAAGAGCCTCAAAACCCGAGGTGAGAGCTGCCAGGACGTGGTGGCAGCGTTTCTAAGCCCTGTGCTCTGAAGTCACACACAGAACGGTCACACCTGCTCCGCCTGTATCTCCGTCACCTTGGGCAAATTAAATAATGACGCTGAGCCTCAGTTTCTTCATCTGTAAAAGGGGTATCAACTGCACCAGTCTTCAGAGGACTACAGTGAAAATAAACATTAAGCACAAAGTTGGTAAATGCTCAGTAAATATCAGATGGTGGTGATGATGTTTTCTAAAAAAGGCTAAATGTAAAACAAGTTCTAGGAACAGAGTATATTATACATTCTATAATGCTGGCCCAGAAGCTCTACTTGATAACAGTTTGGTACCTGAGTTTTCAATCTTACCCTGTTGCACACATTTTTAACCAGTGCGATGGTTCTGTTTCCTGGTAGTTGTCAGGAAATATTTTAAAAAATCAGTTACAAAAAATGAGGCATTCCCACCCTGGCCAGTGTGGCTCAGTGGTTAGAGTGTCGGCCCTTGCACCAAGGGGTTGCTGGTTCGATCCCCAGCCCCAGTTGGGGTGCATGCAGGGGGCAACCAATTGATGTGTCTCTCACACATCGATGCCCCTCACCCCCTGATAATCACTGGAAAAAATATCCCCGGGTGAGGATTAACAACAACAAAAAGAGCCATTCCAGGGATAAAATAGTTGATAAATCTAGGCCACTAGTCCTTTATTAGGGTTTGAAGAAGGACAAGATGTAACTGAGATCCAAAGGGCAGAATAAGTATTCTACAGGAGCTTGGTATTGTTTTAAAAATAGGAGCAATTAGATAATTCCTAAGGTAAGTCAGTTAAAATCATCCCAAGGAGACCTCCATAAACAAGAACTCGCATTGAGAGTTTAAACACAGGAAAAACTCTCAAATGTATTAAAATTGTGCTTTTCTTGTGACGAAGCTCCTTTTGCAGGAGAGAGTTAGAGTAACGAGGATAACAGATGGTCAAAGCGCTTCATAAACTACAGTATTTTATAAATGCAATTATTAATAGGCTTGTGGGGTTTGATTAAGAAAATAAGAAATTGGGATCAAGTTGAAAACTGTTTAAAGAAAGATTATATAGGGTAACTCCTTCCCATTCAGGGTGAAATGAGTTTGTCCAGGCGTCTGCACAGTGAGAAGGGCTGGGCTAGTTATAAAAAAAGGAGAAAACAGAGAGTCCCCTTACTCTTGGTGTCACTCGGCACGTCCCCGACCACCACACACTGCATCACAGCTGACGTCAGTCACTCTTACAAACGTGTGGCAGCTGGTCAAGGATGCACCCACGATGCAGCTGAGGCACGGCCGAGCGCCACGGATTTCTCGTGGAGAACTGAAGACATTTTCTCTCCACGCACAACCCGAGGGTAAGAACTAGCAGAAAGTCACACTTCGAGAACCGCCTTTCGCCCTGGCCGGTTTGGCTTAGCGGTTAGAGCGTCGGCCTGCGGTCCTGAGAGACCCGGGTTCGGTTCCCGCTAAGGGCGCGTACCTCGGTTGCAGCTTGTCCCCGGCCCTGGTCGGTTGTGCGGGTGGCAGCCACTCGATGTGTCCCTTTCACATCGATGTTTCTCTCTCTCTCTCTGTTCCTCTCTCTCTCTCTGTTCCTCTCTCTCCCTCCCACTCTGCCTGAACAAAAAGTGGAAAAATGTCCTTGGGTGAGGATAAAATAAATAAATAAATAAATAAATAAGAACCGCCTTTGGGTTGTATTTCCTTGGTCATTACACAGGTAGCTGGGAAATGAATCAGAAAAGATTCCAAAGCTTTCTGCTCTGAGACTCCTACTGAGTGTGGCGAGGCGGGCACGGCCGATGGCATTTTCTGAAGACCCTGGTGACCCGGAAGGTGAGGCCCGAGTCACAGAGAGTGGCACGGCGGGCACACCCAGGGGAGCCTGAGAACCACGCAAATGCTCGCTCGCCAGGGCTGCTGGGAAGAAGTTCGGAGATGACGTTTCAGCGTGCTGCCTGGTTCCCACGTGCTCCCACACACACCCCGTGGGGCTCTCGACGCTGCCCCAAGTGCAGGCCACGCACGTCTGCGCACTTCCCAGATCCTGCAACTCAGGCTCAGGGAGGTGATGCTGCTGACCGACGGTTTCACGGCGGGCGCAGGGCGAGTCCTAGGCTCCCTGACTCCTAATCCAGTGGGAAAATAAAATGGAAGCAAAGACAGCACATTTAACCCTTTAAGATGATTTCACTGCACAGCTGCCGAGAGCTGGGTGCCACGGGGTCAGCTCAGAGCACGCGCTCCAGGCCTTTCCAGAGGTCCCCGCACGTCCTAGGAGACGCAGAGGAACGGGGGTTCTCATGTGACTGCGGCCCTGGCCCCTTCAACCAAGCCTGCCACTTCCTGCCTGCTTCCCTCTCAAAGGCTAGAGTGCAGGTCCTTCCACCAAGAAGGAAGGGCAGGGTTAGAAGGACACAGGTAACAGACCTGTCCCATCAGTGGCCACAGAATGATCCATTAAGAAGTTAACCAGAGACTTTTCTGCTCCCCTCTTGTTTCTGGGCGACAAGCTTCAGGGAGAGAAGCTGATGAGATGGGGGAGAACAGGGCCAATTTCAACAATATCTAGTGAGTCAACATTAAACACATAGACAGCCCTGGCCAGTTTGGCTCAGCGGTTAGAGCGTCCGCCCACGGACCAAGGAGTCCCGGGTTTGATTCCGGCCAAGGACACATACCTCGGCTGCGGTTTGTCCCCAGCCCTGGTTGGGGTTGTGTGGGAGGCAACCAGTTCATGTGTCCCTCTCACGTCATGTTTCTCTCTCTGTCCCTCCCTCCCACTCTATCTGAAGGTAAAAAAAAATAAAAAAGAAACACACACAGACAGATAAAGGGCCAAGTAAATGCCCAGGGTCACGGCACCTCATGCGGCCTGCCACCTCCAGAGGGACTCCCTCCCGGTCAGGGCCCTCGTGCGTGCGGCCTGCCACCTCCAGAGGGACTCCCTCCCAGTCAGGGCCCTCGTGCGTGCGGCCTGCCACCTCCAGAGGGACTCCCTCCCGGTCAGGGCCCTCGTGCGTGCGGCCTGCCACCTCCAGAGGGACTCCCTCCCGGTCAGGGTCCTCGTGCGGCCTGCGACCTCCAGAGGGACTCCCTCCCGGTCAGGGTCCTCGTGCGGCCTGCCACCTCCAGAGGGACTCCCTCCCGGTCAGGCCCTCGTGCGTGCGGCCTGCCACCTCCAGAGGGACTCCCTCCCGGTCAGGCCCTCGTGCGTGCGGCCTGCCACCTCCAGAGGGACTCCCTCCCGGTCAGGCCCTCGTGCGTGCGGCCTGCCACCTCCAGAGGGACTCCCTCCCGGTCAGGCCCTCGTGCGTGCGGCCTGCCACCTCCAGAGGGACTCCCTCCCGGTCAGGCCCTCGTGCGTGCGGCCTGCCACCTCCAGAGGCTCTCCCTTCGGGTGCTGAGGCCCGCCCACCTCTCAGCCCACAGCTGTGGCCTTGCAGGAGCCTCCAGCAAGGCCCTGACATCCGTATTCGCTCTCCCTCATGGTGTGCCAGGCTCTCCTGGCACGAAGGGGGCCCCCACTTGCTTTATGCCGCTCTCCTTCCTGGGCGGGGACACCACAGACACAGCACATCACACGGTACGCGGGGTGGTGACGCGTATTCTGGAGGCGACAGACCAGCGGGGGCCTGGGCTGTGTGGGAGGTGGTGACATGCAGAAGCAGGACCTCTGTTTACAGAAGAAGATTGAGTGTCTGGAGGATGGATACAGAAGACACCTGAAGATGAGTACTCACCAGTGCATCACGGAACCAGAGGAAGAAGTTCAAATTGGGCAAAAAGGAAGGGACGCCAAATAAACACGGCGGGGCCACATTCAAATCTCACTTCCTGACTATCACAGCTGAGCGACTGTGAACTCCTAGGCCATGGCATTGGCCAGATTTACCACAGGGCACACCACCCCCTCCCCCTCCCCCGACCCAGTGACTGACTTTCTATGGGGGGACAAACGAAATACATTCCGCACCAAGAACATATCCCTAGACCTGCACACAAACATCTTAAAAACCAAAACCTCCATCTCTAATATAAATTACTTCCAGAGTAAGGAATCACAGGCGATAACTCAATTAAAAAACGTATCGCAAATTATGATTTTTAAAAAATCTAAGCATAACTGCCTATCAAGATGAAATTCAGTCTAAGCAGACTGCGAACATGGACATCTCTCCCTTTCGCTGCCCTTACTTCCCTCCCCCGCATGGGAACCTACAGTGTATTACGTCACAGATATTTCTGCCTCCTGAAGAGGATTTCGTTACTTCGCCGAACGTCAGGGAGCCCAGATTTCATTAACTTGCTCCGAGCTCAGATCTCGGAAACTGGGCAAGCTTTACAAGGCTGCACAAATAATAACTTGTCATGGTTGTCACAGCTGAGAACAAAAGAGAAAAACAATTAACCCACTGGAAATGAGAGTAGTGTCTCACTTACCTGGAATAGGGATAATAGGAATACTTTCATTGGGGACCACCCGAGGTGAACTGCTATCTTCCACATAGAAATGAGCTGTCTGGAAACATTTTCTGTGCAGGAAAGAGAAAAACATGCCGACAGTGAGACCAAAGAAATGCGCTTGGTCCGAGTTCATCATTTTTCAGTGTCTCCTCACAGGTCTTCCCAGCTTTAAACACCACACAGCACCGAGCAACAAAGTAGCAAGATACAAAGGACAACATTCAGCCCATTGGAAGAGCCTCAAACAGCTGACGCATACTTATTTTTTGTATTAATTTTTTATGATACACTCTACCTATCTTGATAGTCAAAAGTGAAAGGCTTAGTAACGAACCACTCAGACACACGAAACCTTGGCTCGGACAGAGTCAACTTGTCCCACAAACAGCTATGATTTACCCCACATTTCTAAGTCTGACATGTTACAGAGGAATAATTTGCTGTTCAAAACCCCCAGCACCAAGTTCAAAACCACAATTCGAACCCTCCTAAGGACACAATAGCACCACATTGTTGGTGCTTTGCAAAGGCCCCCAAAAGCCGCAGACAGCTCCCTAAGGGGGTCAGATGGCTTCACGGGGGCCAGCCCTGACAATCAGAGGCCCCTGCCAGACAGAATCGGAGACGAGGACCAAGCCCTCGAGTGTCACCTGCTTGGTTTGGTCCTGTTTGGTTTTTACCTGTACTTCAGGCAAAGCAGGGAGCAGACACTGGTCATCATAGGACAGCAGAGCACAGAGAAGCCACCCGCCGCTCGCTCGGCCTCTGCCTGTGATGCCGGCTGGCCTTGGGCTTCCAGCATCCACGTCACTGCTCTTCGGGCCCTAATGAGCTGCCGGAAGCACAGGCTGAATATTTAATGAGGCTGCTCAGCGTGAATGGCTATTGTGACCAGAGAAGGGTCCCTGTTCGGGCGGAGGGGCTTCACAATAGCTGGCCCTACTGCCGGGTCTTTTAGCCAAGCAGGCGGCTTCCTTCTGGAGCTGCCATGGGGACCGTCCCACTCTGGTGTCTCGCACCATCGACACCACCACAGCTCGGCTTCTCTGCACTCCAACCACTGTCGTCGGCACCTTTTCTCCGACTTGTCTTTGCTCGTCGTCAAAAGTATCCTGGGACGGTTCTGCTGGGCACACCACGCTTCTGTGAAGCCACAGAGGGACTGGGGCCGGAACGAGCAACAGCTCCAATGCAGAGGTGGGAGTGGGGAGCCTCCGAGCACACAGGTGATCCGCTCGGCTAGTAGGACCGCAAGCCACCAGCATCCTCCCACGTGGCAGTGTGACGTGGCTCCTCCGAGCCGTGCCGCCTTCCAGGCGGGAGGAAGGAAGCTCTAGCCGACCAGGCACTGTTCTAGAAGCGGTCTGGGCGCCACGAGGGTGCTCTGCACATGCACGCCCCGCCCGGCACCTGTCTCGGGCTGCCCTTGAACAACAAACACCCCTTTTCTATGAGTTGCCTGAAATTTGTAATATAAGTAATACAACAAGTTTTCATCACTTGTTTATTTATTTATTTATTTTTTATCCTCACCCGAGGACATTTTTCCATTTTTTGTTCAGGTAGAGTGGGAGGGAGAGAGAGGAACAGAGAGAGAGAAACATCGATGTGAAAGGAACACATCGAGTGGCTGCCACCCGCACAACCAACCAGGGCCGGGGACAAACTGCAACCGAGGTACGTGCCCTTAGCGGGAACCGAACCCGGGTCTCTCAGGACCGCAGGCCAACGCTCTAACTGCTGAGCCAAACCGGCCAGGGCTTCATCACTTGTTTAAACTGCTTTTACCTAAATGCCAAAGCATAGAAAACTGCTGAGAAAGCACGTGACGGAAAGCAGGATTCCGATGTCTGAGGTAACATCTTCTGTTTCTAAATTAGTCATAAAGTTTTCTATTCTTGAATCCCCCACCCCAGAATTTGCACCAATTTCCACAATGTAACACTAGAGTTAAAACACAGCTTATGGACTTCACAAATGCACTAAGAGCTTCGACAAGCCAGGGTCAGAGCTAAGAAAAACCTGCTCTTGTTGAGATGTTTACCATTCAAGTATTTATTAACCCAAAAATGTTCTATGACAGACAAACAGCACCCACTGTACCCAGTCGCACGTTAACCGAAAAAAATCATCCCACAAAACAACAACAACAAAAGTCTTCTATTTTAGGACAAAAATTCTATGCCTATCACGTTTCTAAAATATATCAGTGAACAGAATCGTTCCGGCCAAGGGACCGTGGATGCCGAGTGCTTGGGAGGGACGCGGGTGCCCGCGATCTTTCCCAGGCAGGCGGCTCCCCAGCCTCTCGGTCACCCGCGAGCCAGACCCCACGCTCCCTGGGAAAGAGCTGTGCACAGCGAGCGAGTCACAGCCCTGTGCCCTGTGCTGCGGGTGGAACGGGTTTTCCCTGGGGCAAAATGACGGACTGCTGGAGAGGAGGGCGGGCTCTCCACAGCTGCACCTGCATGTGGCCACACGCCTGCCTCCGGGAACACAGGACGGGGCGGGCAACTAACTGCAGAATTCGGAGGGAAATGTCTTCCCTTAGAATGAAGGGGTCAACGGTCTCGGGAAACACTTGTTCAGTGCCCACTGCAGTGTGCAGATAACTCTGCAATTGCCCAGGAGCCTTAAACCCCTTCCTTAAGCCTGGGTAAGCATCCAAATAATTTAGAAAGAATCGTCTGCATCATACATGATCTATGCAAAAAAAAAAAAATTAAGAAATACACATGAACAAAAAGAAAAAAAAAATCCATTGAAATTATCCCAAATCCTCCTCATAGTGCTCATCAATACTAACATTTTGGGATACATTGTTCTACACTTTTCCTTTTTTATTGACTATTTCTTGATCCTGGATGAGGAGGAGCAGACCGATAAATAAGACAGACCAGGTCGCTGCCTTCATGGTACTTGTGTTTGTTCTTGTTCTCTCTCTCTCTCTCTCTCTTTTCTCTCTCTCTCTCTCATTTCTCCTCTCTAACACACACACACACACACACACACACACACACACACACCAGTTATTGACTACCAGTACATAACTCTTTGGTTTGGGGAGCTTTAAAAATAAAAGGGAGAAAGGACTGGCAGTATAAATTGGAAGTCACCAAACAGTCACAGAGATGTAGATTACAGCACAGGGAATACAGTCCATACTATCATGATGACTTGTATGGGGCCAGGTGGGTACTTGAAGCAGCAGGGGGACCACTCTGGAAAGTACACGGTTTTCTAACCACTGTGCTGTACACCTGAAGCTGATACAGCATAACAATGAATGTCAGCTGTAACTGAAAAAATTTTGGAAAAAAAAATACATCCATGCTGCATAAGCCCCACCCTTGCAGATTCTAGAGCAGGTCCAGGGTGGGGCACAGACCTGCGAGTTTTAGAGAATACCCCCTAGAGATTCTGGTGTGCACCATCTCTGGTTACAGGCCACTGTGATAAAGGGGAAACAGTTCCTGGGAGTCTCCAGTTCTCACTAAGAAAGCCATAAAAGAAATAAAACAAGCTTGAATGGTGAGACCATAAAAGTGTCCACAGAATTTATAGGCCCATATGGGACAGGAATCCGTGGTTAAGAATTCAAGGATGTTAACATAATCGCCATAAGCAAGGAAAGATGGCACTGCACATGCCGTCTTCTCCATTTCCGTTAGGGCCTTGGTTCTCAGAATCAGGATGGAATTCTCTCTGCTCCACCACCCACACGGAAGAACAGTCTTAGGTCCCAGAAAAGGTCAGATTTCTCAAATAAAAGCTTCTCCTCCTAACCTACCTTTTAAACTACCTTTGTGGACTGCTCTCCTTTTCTTCGGGCAAAGTACATCGTATTTTCCATGAAGGAATTGTATTTGTCGATATCTACTTCCGAATTAAGTAGTTCACGATGCTTTGAATTCTAAGTGTCCTGCCACTTGAGCGAACTTGAAGGTCAGTGCGTTAGGTGGCTTTCTAAAACCCGCCCCAGAAGTGCTAAGACAGCGACCTCCACTGCGCACTCCCACAGGGGAGCAAGGAGGAGACGCCCAGTTTGCATGAGAGAATTTTTCCTAAGTTCAAACCCAGTGGAGATACGGCCAGAATGAAAATGAAGTGGGGGTCTTGTCCCCCAAGTCAGCACCTCACCACACTTACTCGAGTCAGCAGTTTAAAGGTTTGCATTCCTCATACAACCTGGCCCCTAATCACAAGCCAAATGCTTCCGGTGCCTGGCCAAAGATTAAATGTTAAATCTACGTGCATCTCACAGAAAGCTGTCAGTACAAGATCGAAACAAGCTTTCTATGTCACTCTCCATTCATTCACCCCTTAGAAAACCCCCGTGGTTTTGTAGATTTCTAAGACAGGCTGGACTGGAAGTCAGGAGTCAGGTGCCATTTCCTGGCCAGTAGCTGATCCAATCAGTGTGGATTGTGGCTCAAGGTTCCTTGGTCTCAAGTCTACGCCCCATGACCCACGGTCCAGACCTCTAGGGCTTCCACAAAGCCCATGGACACCTTATGCATACAATCGTGAATATTTGGTCATCAACTGAGATTTCTGAAAGTAATTGTTCCTCTTGCAGACAAGTATTTTGAAGGCACACGCTGTTCCAAAAATCAAAACCTCTGTACTTAAGCACAGCACGCGTCAGAGTACACCCTCTAGACAGGATGCAGCCAGTTGTGACCGAGATCAGTCAGGCCATGGAGTCAATTCCCTGAGCTCTGCACTGGGACGCTCTGCCAGCACACGGCAGGCCCCCTGACTGAGGACCCCCCCCCCCCCGCGGACAGTGCTGAGCATTAGTAAACACTCCAGTTTCGAGGCTTCCTATTCAGACAAAATGCAGCCAATTACAGACAAGCAGGAACTCTCGGGACTCTCCACCCCTCCTGGCTTCCCTCCAGGACTCTCACGCCCCTAAGGCAGAAGCCTCCCCATAACCGAACTTCTGCACAGACTTTCCTTTCTGCTGCTGTTGTCCAGGTAACTGCTCAGATAACCTCTGGTATGTCCTAACAATTTTCTTCCTTCTATCCCTTTCCAACCCTCTGAGAATCTGGGAATCATT